CACAACACACAAGTAGATCGACCACAAACCCTAGAAATCATCTCAACAACAATATAAAATACAAATGATGTAAATCAAGCACAAGATGACACGATGATTTAACCCGTGGTTCAGCTCGCCACCAAGGCTTGCCTACGTCCACGTTGTTGAGGTTAGTCACTAAGGCTTAGGGCTTTGCAACCCTTCCTCGTTCTCAAGTCAAGAGACTCAACACTTGAGATGAGAGGTGAGTTTACTAGCTTCAAGACGTGGTTACAAATCTTCCGGAACTGCCACACAAGTTGGCAAGCTCCACGGACGACGCTTTAGCCAGCTAGGAGCAAAGTTCTAAGAGTAATAAACACAACCGCTGGTCAAAACATGAACCAAGTGCTCTTTTGAGTTGAGGAATTAAAGGATCTGCTCTCTAATCGAGTTTGTGATCTTTTTCTCTCAAGGATTGATGAGGAAATCAAAGAGAATGCTTGGGAGCTCAAGGTCACTAATGGAGGAGACAGAGAAGGGCACTCTTCCGTTCTTGGATGAGCTGAATGAGTGAGAGAAAAGAAGAGAGACGTTGGAGAGGAAGGGGAAAGGTATAAGTACCCCCAACCCCAACGATCACTTAAGTCGCAGCAGTGCCGTGGCTCAAGTGCGGCAGTACCTCTCTCCAGGTGTGGCACTGCCGCACCAGGCAAGACAGCAAGGGTAAGAGTGAAGTGTTGGCTGTCTTGGCTGAGTAACTAAGAATATATGTGTAAGATTGAGCACTTAGTAGCATATATTAGCTTAACCATTGTGTCCTCCTTTATAGTACGGCTTTTCTTATACTTAAATTCAAAATATAAAAGAATTTAAATCTCCTTTGAGTTTGAAGCCATCAACATTTGTAATTGGAGGCTCCTCCGTTTCGTGTAACATCCTCGAACATAAATTCCCTGTTTGTCATCTTGATAAATCTCATTAGTTCTCTAATTGCGTGGTTATTATCATCAAAACTCATAATTAGGGCTTGATTGCACTTTCAACTTTGCAACATAAAACACTTGGATGCGACATACGTCGATGAAACATTTGAAATATATTGTTTCAACATATGTGTGAAACATATGCAACATCCAAATAAAACAATTGCAACATGTATGTAAAACATATGCAACATCCAAATAAACACTTGCAACATGTGTGTCAAAACATATGCAACATCTAGATAAAACACTTGCTGCAACATACGTCTGAAATAGATGAAACATTTTTTCAAAACTCTTGCAACACACCACTGAAAACACTTGCAAAATATGCAACATGTGCAACATCCCGATCTACTTTTCCAACATCCATATGTAACAATTGCCACATACCTCTGAAACATCTGAAATATTTGAAACATACATTTGCATCATAGGGTAGATGAAGGCTGGGGCCGGTCGATTCTGGTCGTCGGGGTGGGATCCAACGGCGCGCGAGCACCACCAGCACCGACCACGCTCGTGGGTGCCCTTGGCTCGGTCAAGGAAGACCTAAGGCGTCACGACACGTGCGCCCCATTGGCGCAGCCAACGGTGATGGGCGACGAACGGATGGCGAGGTAGCGAGCGGCGCATGTGACTGGGATGTAGGTGAGCGATGCATGGAGCGAGGCCGCCCGACGCGCCCAGGGATGGGGGGAAGGGCATGGCGTGGTAGCCCGACGAGCACGCGGTGGTCAGGGTGGGCGTTCGGTTCTCGGTTCGGTTCCCTCGGTTATTGATGAAAAACGGTTCCTAGAAAACGGGAACCGATCGGTTCAAAAAAATTAGGAACCGGGCATTTCGGTTCTCGGTTATTTCGGTTCGGTTTCGGTTCTAACCGAACTAACCGAATTTTTTCAAAAAACCTCAAGACAACCATATTTTCCTTTCACGTATATTTATTGTGACACACAAGTTGTTTTGTTGCAAATAGCAATCCCTCTAGTCGTCTCTCTCTGTCACAATAAACCACACTCACTACTTATGTCCTCATCGAGTTCTATGGTTTTTTTTTTCTGAACATAGAGTCAATAAGACTTTATTTAGATCTTATGGTCTAAATTTAGTTGGCTACTGAATTTCATATCATTTAGCACATTTAGATCTTGTTTGGATGCATGTGTATCCACTCCAATCAACATGTGTTGGAGTGGATTGGAATGAAACTTAATTTAATTTCACTTCAATCCAGTTCAACACATATGGATTGAGATGAATACATGCGCATCCAAACAAAGTCTTATGTGGTTCAATGAGCTAATGATTTTTTATGATGTTGTTTAAACTTTAGACTGTATTTTTAGACCACTTGTTAGAGCCTGAAGAGCTCAAGTTTAGGGTGTGTTAGGTTTGAGGACAAGGTTGGATGTGATATGTGTATCCATGGATATCTGGATATGGTTATCCATGTAGCGTGTTTGGTTGAATGGATAGTGCGAGCCATTTTTCTGTTTGGTTGGGTGGATATCTATTGGACGGGACGAGACAGACCGAGTCATTTTTCTGTTTGGTTGGATAGACGGAGATAGTCATGCTGATTATGTCATACGAGACCCACTTATTATTTATTTATTTATTGTAAAAAATAACCATATAAGATCTTATTTTGAAGATTTAATTAAAACGGATACAATGATGTAGTCGTATCACTAATTAGATAAATGGTTTAGGAGATAACATCATTTCACGGTTGCATGCAACCATTGATCGTTGCTGTCACACGAGGAAGACCCATGCCATGCAACGGTGGATGAGCTTGTCCGCCACTTTTTTTGTGGCAAGCGTATCCGGGATCTTGTGAGAATATTTCATATTCGGAATATCCATGTCCAGTTTCTTCATCCAACCAAACAACCCTCGTCCCATACAACCAGACACACCCTGACCTGGGGATCCAAATAGGATTTCAGTACTGTGCTAGCCGAGTCAAGCTTATTTTGATGCTTAGATTATGTTTATTCATCATGATGCAGTCAAGAGTTTTAGCAGACAATAAAAATATGTGTGACTATGCTAAGCATGTAAGCCTTTTTCATCGGTGACCTTTCATTTAAAGCTCTAAAGACATCACTAGACAAACACGTGGGCCTTGCAACCGCATGTCTATGATAGGGTTATCAAATGCTAGTTCCTCCGTTCCAAATGATAGTAAGTAGTTCATTTTGATTCTGTTTCTAAGTCAATTTTTTCAATACTTTAGGAAAACATATTAGTATCTAGAAATTCAAATAAACATGCTATTCGGATATATTTAATGAAACTAATTTGACATTGTAAATCTTAATACATTTCTTCATAAACTTAGTCATGTTTGATTTAGAATAAAGATATACTAGTATTTTGAAAGGGATTGTGAAGGGGTGCCATATGACCCTTAAAACAATGCAAGCACCATATTAATACTTTCGCGACCCTAATAATTCAAATCGTTTTGGACAAGTTTTAGGTCAAACATTGGAAATATAAATCATGAATAACTTTTTAGTTGTTGAGTTTGGAAATATAAAAACCATATGAATAAATTTGTCTTGAAAAGTACTTTCATAAAAATATACATATATCACTTACCAATAAATTTTTTTATAAAAATAAAGAGTCAAAGTTATGCTTTAGAGACTGTGTCGCTGTTCAAAACAACTTGAATTACCGATATGGAGGAAGTATTAAACTTCGTGACCCTTAAAAAATGCAAGCAGCAATTAAAAAAATACAAGCAGCAAGCGCAATATTTTGGCCGGTATGGCATCTCACGAATGATTATAAATAACGTTTGGCATCATTGTAAGACCTGTTAAAATGAAAACATTTATTAACCGCCAATGCAAAAGATGACAAAATTGTAATCCTTGATGGATCCATTCCCACTTCATTCGAATTGTCTTTAGTGTGTACATTGATATGTTTTCCTACCAACTTTTAGCCCTCATCGTCTCCATATGCGTCCTGATTTCTTTTGTTCTTGCATGCGCCTGCAAAAGTGATATTGGTGGTGCTAAAAAGCTTTAAAGAAGTTCTAAATCGACAAAGTCACTACCATGTACCATGTGAATAAGCGTTAAGCAAAATTGATTGATACTCCTGGTACACTACAGCATGTCTATACTGCCACCTTCTAGGTTACACATGTTAGTATGTTACTACCTCCTGTCAAAAATAAGACACATTTGACTTTTTTTCCCATGCATATAGTGGCAGGGAAGCATATAGTCGTACAGCTATCATAAGCGGAAGTACCTAAAAAATCAACACAGCCCACACAAATGGCAAAAAAAAAAAAAAAAAAAAAAAGAAAGAAAAGGTCGATTAGTAGCAATGAACAGTCATCCCAAACACCCTAAGTTGCAATTTCTGGTTGATATCAACCAGAAATAGGCGCCCGTCATGTTTAGTACTAGATTATGAAATTTATGCTACAAGGTCCCAAAGGTAATGAAATTGATAGACCAAGCACAGTTTGCGGAGTGAGACAACAGTCTTTAGTCCCACTCAGCACAAAACAGGTTGCTGAAAAGAATAATCAAGATACTCAAATAAATTGATGAGATTGTTCTACACTCCACGAAGAGAAGTTTGCACAAAAAAAGGCAACAGGAGAGACTGAATGCAGTGGCATATTTTCCACAAATTACTTTATTAGAGGGGTAACTTTATTAATTCAGAGTGTTAATGGCACATGGAAAACCCCTATCTTGATGTGCCGTGTAGTGTATATCATGGACAAACCAATTTGCCCAAAAATATGAGACCAACTAACTCTCACCGATTATATTGTACACTGACAAGAAGATACTCCATCCGTTCCAAATTATAAGACGTTTTGGCTTTTCTACATTCATAGTTTTTGCTACATATCTAGATATATATTATGTCTAGATACATAGTAAAAACTACGAATCTAGAAATACCAAAACATGTTATAATTTGGGACGGAGGGAGTACAAAGTTACAACTGCATATCCCCACCATATCAAGACCAAAATTTATTTTCCTATTAGATTATAGCAATTGTTTCTACCCAGTAAAATCATTAGCTGTTTTTGTCATGACAGCAATATGAATCAGGAAACCCTGTTTTTTGTTATAGCAAAAAAAAGGAAACAAAAGACAAATCAACAGACATGGAGCAAGATTGCTTGTGCTTTTTGCTCCAAATATTGTCTTGTAACACAGTGGGATTTGCTAATACATCAGTATATTATGTCCAGTTTAGTGCGACAACCAATACACTATTTCTCTCGGCTAAGACTTAATGGCCAACTGTCCAGATTAAAAATGAAGAGAAATATTCTTGTGGACACTAATGATCTGATTGTGGTCATAATCATGACTGATGACAACAACTTACTTTCACAGAAGTTGCAGAACTGGGTACGTCAAACATTCAGATTGCCATCAACTAAGTATAAAAAAAAGGTGATAGAACATAGGAAAATATCCACTGACCTCTGGTGCTCCTTAGAGCGCTCAATAAACTCGGCAGCGATATCACCACTTTGATAGGATGCAAGAACAGCCCTGATGTCAGAAGGTCTTACCATAGCAACATCTACAGATTTTTTATGTGTTATCAATATTGCCAAAAAAAAAGAAAAATTAGCAAACTAGACAAATGGAAAAACCTGACCTAATGGGATGAACTAGATAAAGTTCCCAATGCTTACATTCTAGAAATGGAATAAGATCAAGCAGTTGAGTGTCATCACTTTCAAGCTTCCAAGGTTTAATTTCCACACAATTTTCAGGCTGCAGGCTTGACTCTTTAGCATGAGCGCTGATATAAAGAACTTGAGCAGGATTTCTGTTCAGCTTTGACAGATCCTAGTAATGACATCATAAAGGGTCAGTCTTGAAAAATCAATGCAGAATACATAATGCCTCTTATAATGTTATTAAGATCTTACAATTACTACCAGGAGAAACATTTACCACTCAGAATTAGAACAAGACTAACCACTGGAAAGACCACTCAATGGGGGATGATCAACAATAAGTAACTAGTGAACATGGGAATGATGATTGTATCATCATGAATAAAGTCCCCTAGTTACTTTCAATATACAACAGCATAGAATTTCAAAATTGGGTAGTGCATGAACTGAGGATTGGTTCTAGAAGCTTGTCATGCAAAATTACAGAAGATTCGTGTGCATGATGAAAAGTTACAACAAAGCAAAAGAAACAACAGGCAACTCATCTTAGGAAGTCACTTAATACAACTTTGGGCCATGGGAGAGGATCTGGAACACCAAGCAAGTGCTGCTTTTTCATATGGCTTGTGGCACACAAGTGATAGACTACATATCTCTTAGCACAACAAGGTCTGCCTCATCCCACCAAATTCTCTGTCATACGTCTGATGGGAGCCACCAGCCTAGAGCTAACGGGCCGAGTAGGGCCCAAGGAGGGGCGCCGGGCAGCCCCAGCGTGCCCTAGAGGGGCTGCGCGCGCGCCAGGGAGGGGCGTCATCGCCCTCGCCGCCGTCATCTTCCGGAATGAGTTACCGTAATAGAGAGTTTGGTTAGTTATGGAAGGGAGAATCCAATCTATAAGGATCTCTCATATAGTTGCTTGGGATACAAGTCCACTAGGGACTATAAATACAAGGGGGATGTAATCAATCTAATCAAGTAATAGAAGAGCGTTTGCTCCCTCCTACCCCTCTCTCCCTTCCCTTTCCTGCGCTAGCCACCTCTCTCCCTGCGCCATCTCCTTCTCCTCTCTCCCCAAACCTTAGCCGCCCCTAACCATAGCCGCCACACCCCTAGGGCCCCCCTCCCAACAGGGCTCTGCGCGGCGCTCCTCCTTGGGCCCTGCTCGGCCCGTTAGCTATAGGCTGGTGGCTCTCATCAGACGTATGACATTCTCCTTTGTGATCAGGAGGAAGAAACAATTCAGCACTTGCTGATTTTGTGTATTTGCCAAGTAATTCTGCTTCAGTCTACTGCAAAAGGTTGGTTTGCAAACTCTGTCTCCACAGACTGAAGACATTTCCCTGGATGATTGGTGGTCAATTATCACTATAGGAACCAGTGGTGAAATCAAAAAGGGACTCAATTCCCTTGTCATCTTAGGAGCTTGGACAATTTGGAAGCACCAGAATCGCTATGTTCAACAGACCCTTTCCATGTCTTCCTGAAAATCTCTCACTCTCCAGAGGAGATGCAGCTTAGGCACATGGCTAGCGCTCAGGGTTTGTCTCTCACAGATATTGATAAAGAGTGTGTTTGTAAGGGTTCTTAATAGTTAATATAATCATATGCAGCTATCCTATGTGTTCAAGAAGAAAAAAAATACTTAATACATGGACAAGAAACTTTATGTAAAACCACTTTCACTCTACAAACTTGACCAGTTATTACAAGAAATAAGAACCTCTATCATGTTTCAATCCATGCTATGCCACCATTAGCTTACCACACTGTAAATTATTGGCTAGAGTGTGTAGGAAAATATAGCACAGATGAATAGGACTGACCTGCCAGAAACAGGTATTCAAAGTATCCATACATTTGAAGGACCAGTTTATAAAATATTTAAGCCAAGCAAAAGGATTAATACACAACAATTCCTTTACTAACACAATAGCGTGTAATATCCCACATACCCGATAATGTTTTCCATTTTCGTACTTAGTTGCAACTCTTGATAGTCTGTGTCGAATATTGCCCTTTGGATCCAGCCTATCAACAACAGGATCAACATACTGCACATGCAACAAATTTTCATGCAGGTTACACATTTGCAAATAAAAGTGAACTGAAAGCTCTGAAAAACTTACCATACTAAGCTGATCAGAATACACAACAATTTCATAAAACCTCCCGAGTTGTTCAAGAAAGGCATCCACTCCTGGCCTCTTAAAGGTCCTCCATCCTCTCTCACGCTATACACATGTTTATTTAAGAAAAAACATTAGACTGGTATTCTCAATGAATCAGTCAGCCATACGGGCAAGCAAAATATGAAATGAGTATGATAGAAAAAAAAACATAAAGGAATATTTAATTGCATGTTCTAAAAATATATTGCAGTATACAGAGATCCATACTCCATAGTAAACAAAAAAATTTAAAGTTTGTATGGAACATAATAGTTCACCTTCCAATCTGAGTATACAAGAGTCTCGTTCAGATCCAGAACTAGAGTCAATACATGCTGCTCTTGAGGAAGAAGATCTGGAAGAAGTTTGTCTGATACTGGTTCGCTAAAGCCCTATGGTAAACATATATTAGTATGATTGTGGACATTTCTTCATAATATCAAACATGGATCCATGAAGAAAAAAAAGTTACCATCTGTACTGACCCGAATTTGATCTTCAATTTGGCTCCTCACATCCAGGTATACCTCAATAGCGGCAACAGGAACTACAGAACAAAGCATACAATCCTTAGTAAGGAGGCAGCAAAAAAGGAATTAAAGTATCTAGCCAACCTGAGCCATCAATTAAATCGAAACTCGAATCAGTGGCATGTATGGCTTTATTTTTTTCTAACACAACAAGTAGATGAAGGTGTTAACCGAGAAAACTCAGTATCGAGGATGAGCAGATTAAGAGTAAGCTCATATCACACTCCTTCCCTGTGACATGTTTAGATACAGCCATCATTGTTCACTACTTTACAGTCAACATGGGTCAAATTATCCACAACCACAAGTCACTACAGTGCCAACTACACATGCCCTTCTTAGCGATTGGCTGTGGCATATCTAATGCACATAACTTCAAACAGTCTAATAATTAGGGTGCTACCTACAATTGCCAAACCTTCTCTAGTCAATCATGATGTGTGATGTAAGCTTCTGCTAACATTACCCAGCTATTTCACACATGCATATGTGCTACTGTGTGGTATTCTCAAATGTAATGTCTGGTATCATATTTGACTACTGCAAAGGGATTGTAAATTCAAGGTTACAGCCTGCACACAGTAGGGGCTGTAGTGTTAGGGACATAGAATATTATATTTAAGGGCGGTAGTTATACACAGTGAAGTGGACAGAAATTGCCCGAAGGCTCCAGTTTAAGAAAGAATAACAAAATGGTGAATTGCTTGTTAGCTGGTCAAAAAGATCTGCACGACACACAGAAAGTCCAATGGGCAGAGATAGTAATGAGAAAGATGAGGAAAGAGTATGCTGTAGCCACTACCTTTCATAGCTGCTGCATAAGCCATAGCCTGAAACCTCTGCAAACAAGAAAAATATTATTTTATTGCATGGTTGAGATACAGTGGAGAACCTTAGTCCTGTTAAACCAATTCAGGTCTTCTACTATATTCCCGGAATGCAAGTGTACCATAGAGCGTCATTCAAACATTTTTGTACCCTATATGTTCAAATCTTAGCAAGGCGGTCATGTACTAGTTTTGGAAGGAACAATAAGTGGGGGAAAATGACAGCTGCTATTTCAAGGCTGAAGCAAGAAATGCAATAAAACCAAAGTTCCCCATATGCAATTTCAGCACATGCAAATTTCTAGCTCAAGTGTGAAAGTTCGGCTGCCAAATAGCCACCTCAACAGCTTCACGATAGTGACATCATCAGTGTTTCACACGGCTAATTAGATCTCCCATCATCAAAGGTCACATTTCATAATTCCCTCTAAATAACTTTAAGGCACCGTTGCCCATGACTTTATATAGCTAACGAAAATGAGCTAACAAGAGAGACTTAAACTTGACATATTGCAACACTACCTCAAAGCCGGAAGCATCCTCAGGAATCGGCTGCTTCGACTTCTTCCGGAGCTCCCGCGTCATCTGATCCACTTCATCCAGAGAATAAGCTAAACACAGGAGAAGAAAACGAATCACCACACAGGACATTGAATCAAAAGCCAGGCCACGCTGAATCTCCAAGGGGAGCTAAACCGCGAAGCTGAGCATCGGGACCGCATGGCCCCCGCGCGGGGCAGGGATTGGGAGCCGTACCGTAGCTGACGTAGCCCGTGCCGCCAACCGCCGCGGACACGGCGGCGAAGGAGGCGAACATGAGCGCGCCCCACGGCTTGCGGGCTGCCTGGGGCGGCTGGGAGGATGGATCTCCGGCGGTGGAGGAGGCCTCGGAGGCGGTGGCGGCTGCCGCTGCCGCCTCTGCCGTGGATGAGGAGGAGGAAGCGGCGGCGGTTGCCGGGGAGGCGGTGCAGAAGGAGAGCGCAGAGATCCTAGGGAGGAGGCGCGAGCCCGCGACGCGAGACATGGTGCGGCTTGGGTTTTGGATTTGTTCTTGCTTGGGTTCCGGTTCGAGTGGAGGGTTTAAGGAGGAGGGGCGGCCGAGAGCGGTTGAGGACTGAGGTGCGGGCGTGATTGCGATGTAGAAGAAGGCGTAGCAGCGGAGTTGGGAGGGATGACTCTGGAGTCTGGACAGGAAAGAGTCACGAGCGGTCCCACTAGTCAGGCGCGCTGGCATATGCTTCGGAGGCATCGTTTTGCCCCGCGAATCAAAAGGCCAGTAGAAGTATTTTCAGCCCAAGCCCAAAAAAACATTGAGGGATCCTTTGAAATGGGGGATTTTCAAAAGAAACAAAATTCAGGAATCAGCAATCCATAGAAATAGCTACTATACAGCCCTTTAGTTTGCAGGATTGATGAGGAAAGGCAAAAATATTCCTTGGCTGCCAATTTTGAACATATTCCATAGGAATGGAAACATCCACTCCAGCCTCATTTTTTCCTTTCCCTTGGGTAGGATCGAGGCACAACGTCATGTTTAGTACACACTGATGGGCTTAAGAATGAGTGGAATAAAACAATCAGCCTGCGCCTCGTTTAGTTGCCCGGAACCGGCAGTGGCAAAATCACTGTAGCACTATAGCATTTCGTTTGTATTTGATAATAATTGTCCAATCGTTGACTAATTAGGCTCAAAACGTTCGTCTCGCAAAGTACAACCAAATTATGCAATTAGTTTTTGATTTCGTCAACATTTAGTACTCCATGCATGTACCGCAAGTTTAATATGACGGAAAATTTTCTTTTTGCATAGTGCCAAAGTTTAGATTTTGGGGTAATTAAACACCCCCTTGAAAGGGTTAAAGTCTGAGCTCTGCCACACCATTAACTAAATCAGTGAATGGGATTGTGCACTTACTAATATTCCTACTCCTACAGCTTCCCTAGGAATATCCAAACATCTACCTTCTAATGCTTTCCTGTACTTTTTAATTATCTATTTTGCAATTGTATTCCTACAAAATCCTATATTCTTTCCTATTACTGTGCATTTGCAATCATGTGTTCCAAAGGCAACGGGCCTTTATCCCTAATAGGAATTTTTTTCATTAAGAGATGTAAATAGAATGCATTTGCTTTCCGCATGATCTTAACATGTAGAAACCAGTCCTGTCCCTCAAAAAAAAAACTAGTCCTGTCGGGTGAAGCGGGGCAAGGGCGCTCTCCAGCTCCCCTTCTCTACAACTCGTTGGGCCCCAAGAAAGCAAGCCAACTCTTCAGCCTGTTCGTTTGGCTGTGGCTTGTCGTAAACGATCGTAAATTTTCAGCTGGAACAGTATTTTTCTCTCACACAAACCAGCCAGCAGTACTTCTTCACGAACCAACAATGAAACGAACCAGCCAACCGAACAGGCTGCTTGTCTCTCCCCAACACTTTCATTTGTCGGTCCTTCTCTGTCCTACTCCCCTGGTCCCTCTCTATTCCTAGCGTAGGTATCCTCGCCGCTTCCTCATGAGTTCTTGCGCTACCTCCACAGGCGCGTCAACTGCTCCCGCTACTGCTTCCCCTCGCCCTTCTCCATCCCAATGGTGTTGATGGTTGCTCACGCTACTGTTGTTTCTCGTAACGATGCATCTAGCAGGTGCTCCCGCCTACTAGAAGAACAATATCGATAAGTATCCAATCTTGCATAAATTGTTCGGTATATGATGGCAATTCAAGTGTCAACATTGTTTGCTAAGACTACATTTAATTAGTGTTATCGTTGGCTGAGTTGTTGTGGATATATTATAATTTCTTAGATCCTAATATGGTACATGCGATGATCGGTACCAACAATTGGATACATGCAATAAGAAATGGTAATGTTTTCCCTAGTTGTTCAATTTGAATTGTCCAGTCTATAGTTGATCAATATGGATTGTACAATATTGTAAAGTGGTGCGGATTGTAAGGAAAATGGACCTTAGGCCCATTTACTTTGGATTTTAGTGTTTGATGATCAACACAACCAAATTGGACTAATAAAGTTGCAAGTGATTGCTTTGTAGTTCAATAGGATGCAACACGTGATTTGGACGAAGACGACGTGATGATCCGATGATCAACACCATAAACAAGACCTTAGAAGCACAAAAGAAGACCCAATATATCAAGCAAAGTTCAAGTATGAAGATAGGAACCAAGCCGTACGCACGATCACAAAGAAACGAGCTCACAGAAGTGACCGGATGCTGGTAGCACAGTGACCGGACGCCCAATCAAGAGGCTCAGCGGAAGCAGTGACCGGACGCTGGCGGCAAATTGACCGGACGCAGGATAGCAGAGTCCGGTCGAGTACAGAGAGGTTCTAGAGCGGCGAAAATGCGACCGGACGCGTCCGGTGGCATGTGACCAGACGCTGGCAGCGTTCGATCAGTGGATCACGGCTCCAAAGGTCGGGACGACCGGACGCATCCGGTTAGGACGTAATCAGCGTCCGATCAGTAGCAGAAAAGCGGGATTTTATTCCCAACGGCTACTTTCTCAGTGGGGCTTATAAATACAACCCCCAACCGGCCAAATGACAAGTGTAGAGCTGAGGAAACATATCAAGGGTGTTGATACACAATTTTAGTGATCTCCACTTGCATAATGCTTAGTGATTCATTAGGTGATTAGCGTAGGTGCTTTGCGAAGTGCTTAGATTGATTAGACCACCGTTTATGCTCTTGCTCTAGGTTTAGGCCTAGTGTTTAGTGAGGTTTGCATACCTCTTACCACTCGGTGCTTGCGCGCACCATTGTTGTACATCGGAGGGGCTTGTAGTCTTGCGAGATCACACCAACCGCATTTGTGGTGTGGCCGCCACCGTGTACCGGAGGGAACAAGACCCACGGCGTTTCGGCCGGAAGCTTGATAGTGAAGACAGCGGGGAGCATCCGAGAGAGGCTTGCTGGAAGGCACGTCGGAGACCCACTTGCGCGTGGGGAAGGCCCGAGACTATCCACGGAGTTACCCGACCGGGAGCTTGGCCCTTACGAGGGGCTCCAACGAGGACTAGGGGGAAGCTTGCGTGCTTCTCGATACCTTGGTAAAAATACCAGAGTCATCGATGGGAGTTTGTATATCTCTATATTACTCTTTAGCTTCCGCATTTATATTGATTGTATTACTTCTTTTGTGGTAGAGATATCAACACACTAGCAAAACTGTAGTTGCACATTTAGATAGTTTATCTTTTGCATAGATTTTGCTAAAGTTAGAAAAAGAGGCCAACGTTTAGAAGTAGAATTTTAAGTTGCCTAATTCCCCCCCCCTCTTAGGCGTCACGGTCCCCTTCAATTGGTATCAGAGCCATGTTGGCTCAATTTGGACCTTTGGCTTAACCGCCGTTGAGCCGACGCTATTTAGAGTGGTTAGAATGGATACCTCTAGGCCTCCGCACTTTGACGGCACTAACTTCCCATATTATAAAGCTAGAATGACTTGTTACCTTGAGACGATTGATTTGGGAGTTTGGAGAGTCACTCGTGATGGGATGAAACCCATTAAGAATCCGAAAAACCCATAAAGAGTGATGGAAAAGAAATGTATTTCAATGCTAGAGCTAAAAATTGCTTGTTTGAATCATTTAGTATGGATGTGTTTAACCAAGTGTTCACCTTAAATACGACACATAAAATTTGGTTAAAACTTCAAGAGCTCCATGATGGCACATCTAATGTCCGTGAGCAAAAATATTATATAGCTAAACAAAATTTTGATTCCTTTAGAATGAATGATGATGAGCTTGTTCGTGATATGTATTCTCGTTTGAATCTAATTGTCAATGAGCTCCATTCAATAGGATTAACAAAGCTAGATGATGCGGACATCGTGAGGAAGATCATCTCCGTGCTACCACAAAAGAAATATGCAAGCATCATCACCATTCTTCATAACATGGAGAACTTGAGCACCATGACCCTGGGCATAGTCATTGGCAAGATAGTAGCATTTGAAATGTCACGTAAGATGGGTCAAGACGAAGCCTCTTCATCGAGCAAAGGCAAAGCACTCGCATATAGCGAGAAAAAGAAGATGAAGGGCAAGCAGGTTGAGACAAGCTCAAGCAAGCCTCAAGTGAAGAAGATGATGAAGATGATGATGATGATGATGAAGATTCAAGTGAAGATGATCAATCTTCCTCCTCCACCTTCAACCTTGATGAAGAATCAATCAAACTAATCAACAAGGTGGAGAAGATGATCCAAAGGCTCAATGTCAAGGGTGTGCCCATCCAAATCTAAGATCTCATTTTCACCAATCAAAGAAATGAGCAAAGAAAGAGATGATGCTATGGATGCGGCGAGTTGGGGCACATTGTGGAAGTTTGTCCAAACAAGCCCACACCCAAGACAAAGAAGAAGGCGTGCGAGAACCAAGCCCTCACATCAATAAGGTCATGGGATGATTCTTCAAGTGAAGAAGAACACCATCACAAGAGGCGAGGCCACAAGCACTCATCATCAAGTTCTTCTCGTATGTGCCTTATGGCATGAGGTAACGAAAGCTCATCCTCTAGTGAGAGTGATAGTAATGATGAAATGCCTTCTTATGATGAAATTGTGCAACAAAATCTTAATTATGCTAAAGTTTGCACTAGTCAACAAAAGAAGCTCAAAAAATTAAAAGAAAAGCTAAATAGTTCACAAGAAGCATACAAAACTTTGCTTGAACAATATGAGAACTTTGCTAATCTCAATGTTGAACTATCTATTAAAATTGAGCAACTTAAGGCTAGTGCAACAACAAATGCATGCACAATCAATGATGAGTGTCGGTGTTTCGAACAAACACCGGCTAGTAAATTTGTAATTGTTGCACGTTAGGCCCGGATGGTGCACTAAAGGACACAAGGTTTATACTAGTTCGGACTGAATGTCCCTATGTCCAGTATGCTGCTGCTCGTGTTATTAGTACCGAAAAAGGTTCGTAGTAGGGGGTATAAACGGTCGAGAGAGGGATGGGTCCCAAATCTTTGATGGAATGGTCGAAAGGTCGCC